AGGGATAACAGGTCAGGTCCTCTCTGCAGTACACCAACAAACACTTATATCCCTGTAGCACGTAGAGCTTGACCTGAGTGGATTTCTTTTTCTTGGAAACAAACAACTCTTAAATTGTGTAAGTGAAGAAATATTTGCTGACTGTGATTTTGCAAGATACAGTAGAAAATACTAACAGAAAGCAAAACCCCTATACCTCTGCCTACGAAATGCCTTTACATCTAAAAGCAGAACRAGACAGACTAATCAATTCCTCTTTGCAGTTACCAGAACTACAGTGAAGATGAAGCTCATATTGAACACGATAATAGCACACAAATAAAAATGGGTAATTTTTTTTCCAGCTGGAACAGCAATTGAGTAAGCAGTTTGTAAGGTAGAATAAGACAAGAACTGGATTTAGGAATGACTGGGATGTAAAGTCCTGTGAATTGTTTTTCATTGAATTGTTTTCCTCCGATTTTCTCTGCAAACTGAGTCATTTTCCTGATGGAAGTCCTGAGTGTCCCCAGGAAAAGAAACTCAGTAGCAGCATCTGTCAGAGTCCAGCTGGGCATCTCTGATCCCAGACACATGGTTTATAAACACGGTCTCATGCTTTCACCTGCATGTTTGCACCACGGCACAAACGAACGRTCTGAGCACAGACACCTTTGAATTCTTTCTGGCTTTGGGAATGAGCATAGATAGAGTGACATATCAAGGGCATGCTAGCACCTGAACAGGGCTTAAAAACTAGACGCAGATTATCCTGTATTAACTAAGCATTACAGATTTTACTCTGTGGGGTAGAGTTTGATTTGCGTGCTGAACCCTGGATAAATTTACACTCACAGAATTACCTGAGGTTACTTTAGACTAGCTAGAGATAAAAGAGCATATCAGCAAAGCCAGCTGCATGAATATCTACCTATGCTCTGCACAGGTCTTCACCAGGAGGCATTTATGGCTCCTGCTAAGCTGTGAGATCCTACCGTTTTGTTAATATCAGAACCAAACTCATTAGTATCAAGCTAGCCAAGAGGTGCACTTGACCTATCATCATATCTTCCATATCTTTCACAGCACAGAGGTTATGACCTCAATCCAGGAACAATTGGTTTTACATTATATATATATATAAAAAAATGTTTTAGTTAATGACCCAAAGGGAAGATGCAAATGCACTAAAGCAATTTGAAACTCAAGTTTACTTGAGAGACAGAAGTGGGAGTAAGAAGATATAGGTGCCTTCTAGCAGCTACAGCTTCAGCAACATTTTAAGTAAATCGACTTCAAAGGCTGAACTTGCAGACTGAAAACGACAGCATCTATTGATCTGGGGCTAAACCAAAAAGGGGGAGTTTTCATATCTGAGGAAAGAACTGAAAATTTTTGCTCTCACGTGCAGCTTTTGTCTCCCTGCCAACTTCATGCCAGGTTTATACCTGCATGAAGTCTGCCATGAAAYCCATCTGACCTTCAGTGAGTGCAAAGGTGCCTTGAACATACATACCATGCCAGGTGCACTAAGCCCCACTCTGGGGGTCTAGCTGTTTCCTCACTATGGCAGTAATAAACACAACTGACTGATGCTATAAAAAGCATTTTCATTCTGAACAGTGACCTCACAGATGGGAAAAGCAAGTTGAATAAACCAAAGAGTGGGCTCCATTGCGACATTATTACATTCCCAGTGCTTTACTTTATGCATTCAGATGGTGAATACCAATGGCTCGTAAAAGGAGCAAGGGTTGTGCACCCAGCGGTGCTGCAGGTGCTTGATGTCTCCAGGAAGGATGGAGATGAATAGTTACCCTCAGACTGCTGTAACCACTGGCAAAAACTTAATGGTTCTGTTATGCAGCAAAGTAACCAGTGGCAAAAGAGCTAATTGCCACTCCTGCAACCTGAGGAGACCTCTGAGCTCTGCTGAGATGGGCAGCATGGAGATTAGTCCTGAACTTAATCTAAAATTCAGGCTTTTGGGTGGTTTCTGCTTCTGTGCCTCAGAGCATAAAAATATCATGAACATTCACCCAAGAGGAAGTGCATGGAGAATATAGTCCTAATATTTTCTTTTTTCGTTAGACTTTTAATCACTGCCAGAATATGATTTGCCTCTTCAAGAATCTTGAAGAACTTACTTAACATAAATCATTTTACTCAAGAGCTTTTTGATTTAGCAGAAAATGCTGCAAGCACATCCAGGGCTGGAAGCTGAGGTTTGCAATATTCAAATATAAAGTTAGATGCATATTTTTAACAACAAAAGTAATTAGTTATTGGACCAATTTACTTAAGGATGCAATGGCTTCTCCATATTTGTGGACTTCAAAAAATATCAGATTTTTCTGAAAGAMTGGATAATTTACTGTCCAATGCTTGGAGTAAATGTAGGAACTACTAGCCAGCTGGTATCATTTGTGTTGAGCTGTGCTATAAGGGTCTTTTTACWGAAAATGTGATTTTCCCCATGCTTTTTGTAGTTTTTATATCCTCATTTGCCAAATCCTCTATTCCATTACCTTAATTTTGCAAACAAAGTTGCTTTTTCATGTCTTAAATTAAAAGGAAACTTGAATAGATGCTTCATACAAAATATTCACAGCTGCATAAACCAACTCACAAAGGAGATTAGGTGTTTATTAGCAGGAAAGCGTAAGTTGTAAGAGCGTGCTTTGTACCTTCATCACTTTGTGCTTCTGTTGTGAAACATTAAGGAAGTCCTAGGATATGAGGCAATTAGGCAGATAGTGGTTTATAGACAAAAAAAAATCCACATACCCTCTTCTCTGTGGACAGGTTATAATACACTGTTTATTTCCTCTCTACAAAACAGGTGATTCTGCAAGGCAGTCCTGCTCTGATAAAGAAACTACAAAAATATTTAAATATTTATTTTTAAAATATTTTTAAAACCTGTGAAAATCAAGCGAAGGGCTATGGTTGGAGTTGAAGGTGCACAGAAGGCAAACAAATCTGAAACGGAAGCCAAACCAAGCTGCCTGCCCTTCGCTTGCATTCGTACTGTCAAGCTGCAAGCGACAGTAAATAGCCCCTTGTGCTATTCTGGTTGACCTAGGCTCACCACATGCACTCTGTTGATAGCTATCAAAGGGGGACTGCATTCTTGGGTATTCTGGACTGGGAAACTTGAAGCTAAGCTCTTACACCCCGTCCTGGGAGGGCTCCCTGCTCTGAACAGTCCCATATAGCATCTGCATCCCACAGTGGRCAACCATGGTCTTGCTCCTGCAAACTGCCACCCCAAATCTGGGGTTAACTCTCCAAGGAGTATGTGAAGAGATGAACTTATGGCAAAGAGCTATTGTTCTGTTAACCTCTTTCCCCCCTTTTTCTGTCTCATTCTTCTCCTGGAAGATATTTTAGGAAAATGTGCCAGTACTGAAAAACCTCTCAGTCCCTGCATCAGGTGCTTCCAGATCAGCCTCCATCAAAACATGCTAGTAGAGTTGGCAGATGTTATTGCTAAGCCGCTCTCCATCATCTTCAAAAGGTCCTGGAGAACGGTGGAGGTACCTGAAGACCCGAAGAAGGCCAATGTCATGCCAGTCTTTAAAACATGGCAAGGAGGACCCAGGCAACTACAGTCCAGTCAGCCTCACCTTCATCCCTGGAAAAGTGATGGAAAAGAACATCCTGGCTGTTGTCTTCAAGYATGTGGAGGACAAGAAGGCGGTCAGGAGTAGTCAGCATAGATTCACCAAGGAGAAATCATGCTTGACTAACCCGATAGTCTTCAGTGATAGAATGACTAGTCGGATAGATGAGGGGASGGCACTGGATGTCATCTATCTTGACTTCAACCAGGCTTTTGATACTGTCCCTCACAGCATCCTCCTGGGCAGGCTCCRAAGGTGTGGGATAGATGAGTGGATGGGGAGGTGGATTAGGAATCGGCTCAATGACACCCAAGAAAGTGGTGATCAGAGGTGCAGAGTCTAGTTGAAGGCCTGTAGTTAGCAGTGTCCCCCAGGGGTCAGTCCTYAGCCCAGTCCTGTTCAATTTATTCATMAATGACCTAGATGAAGGAACGGAGTGCTCCCTCAGCAAGTTTGCTGATGATACCAAACTGGGAGGAGTAGCTGATACCCCAGAAGGCTGCACTGMCATCCAGAGGGACTTGGACAGACTGGGCAACTGGGCAATGAGAAACCTCATGAAGTTCAACAAGGGCAAGTGCAGGGTGCTGCGCTTGGGACGGAATAACTCCAGACACCAGTATAGGCTTCAATGAAGACTTCTAAATTAATTGTATGTTAGTTTCATGAGGAATGGTTTAGCATCTCAAATGAGATGCACCCAGAGCCTCCCTGCATCTATAGAGGAATGAAGAAAGTTTCTTTCCTTTGGTGATCCATATACTCTCATGCGGTCATGACAGGAATGAGCTTTGTCTTGCAGTTAGACCTTGCAACTGAAAAGCAGTGCAGGCATCATACCTAATTGCTTGAGAACGTCTCAAGACAAATGATAAGACCCTCAACATACTTAATAACTTGCACTGCTGACCTATACAGGTTCTCCTGATGTCAAGGGACTCCAGGCAACTTCTCCAGGTCTCCACCTAAAAGTCTTCCAGAATGCCACCTTTGTCCATCCAAAGACCTTAAAGTGCCATGGAACAGTAACTTGGCCCCATGAAAATTATTTTTGAGTGATAATTTGGACCCCTATAAAACAGCTTTAAAAAGCATAGGGAAAAAAATGTAGACAAAATCATCTCTTTTATGTAAAATTTCCTATTTGTACCACTTGGTATGCAGAAATGMAAATCTATGGGTGAAGTTTTAGTGTGTTCTCACACACACAAAGAAGAGCCTGTTGTTCTGCTGTGCACCTTCATCACTTCCCCATTTAGAAGTATTAAAAAACTATATAAACACAGAGTAACATCTTCTTCCCAATTTATTACACCCAATGCAGTAAATCAGCCTGATTATAACAGCTGCATAGTGTTTTTGTCCTTTCTATTTTCTCATTCTCTTCAGGGYAACTGAAAAGTGAAGCAAATGAAGACCAAGGGTTAAGACAGATGCTGATTTTGGCCCTCATTTATATTAGAGTGACCCCACACTTCAAATATTTGTCTATTTCATTGCAGCATTCAGGAACATCTGGCATAGATCAGCTACCATGCTATTAAGACACTATATGCATATTTTTGTAAGTGTTTCCACGCTTCAAGGATTTACAGCTAGAGAAACTACGAGGACAGGCAGACAGGCCACAGGAAATGAGAAGCAAGAAGATAAACTATATTCCAGTGGTGCACTTTGCAAGATGCCAGCTGTCCCATGTCAATGCACAGCATTAGCACTTTCAGTTTCCCCGTGCACGGAGGGTACTGGCAGGCCAAGATCCCAAGGGTAAGAGCACAGAAAGTCCATACACAGCTCCTCTCTCAGGTACAGACACTTATTCCAAACAAAATGATGAACTGCTACGATTTTTGCCAGCAAACGCAGAGATTTTGGTATGTCCACCTGAGAGACATGGTGGTCTTGGTTTCTGTCCAAAATAAGGAGCAAAATCGCTCCCAATGAGTCATAACTCCATCAAGACCTGGAAKCCAGCAGGAGATGGTGCTTATCGTAGGCTGTATGCAAATACTTCTTCTCCACTTGCTGGGCAGCTGAAGTGAAATGCAATGAAAATCACTATGTTAAAATTCCAATATTAATTATTACATGTGGAAGGCTACTACAGCTGAAGCAGTTGCTTGGCTTATGCATGTGGTTGTGCTGTTTATTCTGCTTGGAGCAAAATCTCAGCTGCAGAGATGGATTTTCACTTCCCAAGGCCTGGCCAATCCAGTATTGCTCATTGCTCTCCTCATCAATATCTGCCTTTGCCATTTACTGCACACAGGATCACTGTCAGCTTTGTTTTCTCTGCTTTTACATCCAGGCAACTGGGGAAACAACTTTGGTATAAAAGGTAACTATGTAAAGACAGAATAAGAAGGCCAGCAAACTAAGACCAGACTTTGAAGAGGCTCCACRTTGGACACCTTTCAGCTGCACTCCAGGCTGACCCGGCATTTCTTTTTCCCTCCTGTCAAATTATCCCACACAAATTCTGAACAGGTTTTGCCTGCCTTTATGCAAACTAATAAGGAAGATTTCAGGCTCTATAACACAGCAATTTGGCAGCAAGGGCAGACCAGGTTTCTCTGACAGATGCAAATATTTACACCAGATAGCAAACATGTCACAGGGTCAAGCAGCAGAGCAGCTGCACTACCAGCATAAAGCCACATAAACATTCTCTTTGGCTCCAGGTTCACATAATTGATTGAATCAGCAGATAATCAGTTACACTAAACACCCACTAAATCTTCTCTTTGTCAGCAAGGAGGCTGCTTCCTATGGGGAGAGGCATTTAAGGATGAAATGAAGCCATTTCCCACAGTTATCTGTAAATGCAAGGGTGGTTATTTAAAGTACAAAATGCACACACTTAACATAGAGACTATGTGGGCTATGCAACAAACCACATACTCAAAACCAGATTTTCTTCTAAGTTTTCACACAATAACTAAAGAAAAATTCTGTACAATGGCAATAATCTAGAAAGGAATGTACCTAGTCCAGACATCTAAACTGAGYTGGCTGCCTGGGCTCCCCATTCTGTTAATGAAAACAGGTGTGTTTAGGTCACGAGCCATTTCATCCTATTTAAGCTAAATTAGCAAGAGATGAATCAAGTCCTCAAAACATCTGTTTCTTTCCTCTGATAAAACAAGGTGTTAAGACAAATAGCTCACATATAAACATATATTGTAAAAATTGTATTGGGTCAGATTATTTCCACACTCARCATCCAAATTAGTCTTTCTAAGCAACAATAATAAAAGTCAAACAGAGAAGTTTTGCTTAAAATACTGAAGCAATGAAGAAATCAATTCTTCTCCTTGACTTATTTACAAAGTCTTGTTCCATCTGGTTGTCCAAGTTCATGTTTGTTTTCTATGCCACCTTACTGCTGGAAACCATCACCTCCATGCTAAACACATGGTTTTACCTGGTAGGCCTTTATTCTGAATATCTCTAGAGAACTGTCAATAGCAACAATTGGTAATTTGTTCAGAAAACTTATTTTTTACTGTTTTTCTCTGTCTTGACACCTGCAGACAACTTATTAAAGCATTAGTAAGATCCTCCTAAGGTACACAACACCTTTTCCAAGATACTTCATGACATTTGGCATCCCTGCAACATGCAACTAATACATTTATATTATACTAAATTCATTGGTTAATCTAGGTTTAATATAACACTGAGGAATGTGGGCCAGTTCATAAAAGATGCTGTAACCACCTAATTTGAGCAGCTTCATACTGAAGCCCTTTGGGAGATCTCACAAGAAGGTGTTGTGTCAAACTCCACCTGACCCAGACCTTTGTTGCATTCCCAGGAAAGTAAAGAGACTATATTTATTATAGCTCTAGGGCATGGTTATATTTTCATTTTCATTTTAATCTCCTGAATCTTATTAACACAAAGTCACTGCTCTGCCCAAATTATAAAAATGGAGCACAAAAAAATTCCTTCAAAATTATCTGGCTTCTGTGTATCAGTGGGAGAGACTGTGGAGCTTTTTTTGGCAGGAAGATACGCTATAATCAGACTTTGCTTACAGATCAGGGAAATTACATCCATACAAAGTCATGCAGTTGTACCCAGAAGCCTTTTTTGTATTCATATCGACCTTCAATCCTTTTGAAAATGTGTTTGGCTCCTTGGGTTGAAGAGAAATGTCTTTCTTTTAGAAGACAATACTTATGCTGAGCAGCTATAGAGGAGAGTTTGTACAGAAATGAGGATGCAAGACTCCCACTTTACAAGTCTGTAGAGAACACAAGGCCTATAGATTGCTTTTGAACYTACATCTTGGTTTCAGCCACATTTCACATTACCTGCAAAATCCAATATAGCAAGAAAAATATCTTCTATCAGCTGAGAACATTTCAGTGATACTGGGAGGAATCTGCTTTACATTTGAGGATGCCTTTGCAGAATGCTGTCCTCCTTTAACATACAACATTAATCAGGAAATTTGTTCCTGCAGGGACTATGGAATAACAGGAAACCCAAATTGTGCAGTGTCTTTACAGAGCAACAGTAAGAGAAAGGTGGAGGCCAATGAGGCTGTCCCACTTCTTTTTCCCTTTGCTGGCTAATTATTTGAACATCTCCCCTAGGAAAAATAGCATAAGAAGTCAARATGTTAAAAGAATGGAAACCCCAGAGTTTTAACGTATGGCTCAACATAAATAAGTCATGAGCATGGGAACTCTTCAAACCCACAGAGAGGCAAAGAAAAAAAAAAAAACAGAAAAAAACAATCTGCCTTTATGAAATAAGCTTTTCATTGGTCTCAGGTGTAAATCACTAGCAAATTCAGTGGAATTGCACCAGGTGTGGGTTTGGTCCCATACATTAGCTTTAAAGAATTAATCTGCACCAAAGTAGTAGGCTTCCCCCACCTGAAGAAGTGGTAAGAGGTATCAAGCAAGCACTTTCCTTCTTCTGCTTGTCTGGATGAATAATTTTTTGTATTTGCAGCAGGTGAAAGGCACAGCTGAGGTTTGTGTGCACAGTGTACTCACAGGGCCTAGGCAACAGTTTCTCCTACAGGCTTATAATATAAACAGAAAAAGACTATAATATAAACAGAAAAAAMCAAAAACCTAGAAAAAAGGGAAATAGCTGAAATAAATTTGATTATAACCACAAAGGCATCCAGAGGCAGGGGTRGGAATTCTTACAAGTTCCATCTCAGCATCCTGAGCACAAATCCATCCTCTTGCCAGCAGGATTCTCAGGTAATGCATCAATGATTTTGGATCATTGTCCAAAAGCTYGATTGTGTATCCAGTGACAAACCACAGAAATGCAAACAGCTGTACAGCTGTAGGAAATCTAATAGTGAATTTAGGTTTAAATTTCATCAGATAGTAGGTGGAAAATGCTTTTTCTTGTTGAAATTAGAAAAAAAAAAAAAACCCTATAATTCAGTCTGAGTCCTATGGAAAAATCCAAAGTTAGTGCRCAGCAGTAAGAGGTTTCAGGTACCAAGCTTAGGTTCCAGATCTCTGCAGCATAAGATTTGCTTGACCACCTGGAAAGTCAAACCTAGCGTGTMTTTTTCCAGTTGACCTTCTAAGATTTTCAGGCTCTAGAGGATTCCTTTGGTGGAGGATAAATTGTTAACTGTCCCATATACAAAAACAAGTATTAAAGAGGAAGAAAAATAAAAATGTTCTGTCCCTACTATTTTAAGTACAGAAATCATTATTTAGATTGATACATCCTGGTTGCTCTGAAGAGGAATCAACAAAAATAAAATGAGAGGGGAAAGGTGAGATGCAACCCAGACAAATCAGATAGTGTTTTGTATAGTGATTACCTTATCAAAACATATTGTGTTTAATTAAATTAGTTGCTACTCCTTTCTCTAAAGWTCTTTTTATAAAAACATTGAACTAGTTCAATGACACTGATTTGGGTCAAAGTATACAAACCCTCCAATGTGGATCCACTTAGGTCATATCAAGATGCTTTTTTCCCCCAAATATGAGAATACAAAAAGAGAATAGTAATTTACTGAATAGCTGAATTCACTGTCAAAGTTCTCTTGGCAGCAAGATTTAGGTTAAACTTCTGTTCCCTCAAAAAGGAAAAAAGTCTAAAAAATATCAAAACATAGATAGCTACAACACTACCAAAAGAAAAAAAAAACCAAAAAACAACAACAACAAAACTTGTGCAAACCCTGGACCAGGACTAAATATAGAGTTTTCTTCTAATTCTTGAAATATCTATTCTAACTATTAATATATACAGTCTAAAACTACAGTCGTTCGGAAAAGAATATATATTCTTATTTTGGGACTTATTCTTTTTATTCTRTTTTGGGACTTAGTAGTCCCAAAAGGAAGTGCATAATTCCTGACAAAWTAATTGGGACGAAGGAGTAGCCACATAAACTACCCAAACTACATCCACCTACAGATGGAAGTAAGATTTTTTATTTTAAAATTTTTTATTTTACTGCAGTAATTTAGAAAAGACTTTAAGAGCTGTTTTCAGGATGCAGGGTAAACCTTGCCTTGTAGATTTAGCAGTTAGCTTCCCATACTGTAAAGCAGTCTTTTCCTCTAGCTTTGTCTTATAGCTCTCACTCATGTGAGAGGGTTGTCTTGTCAGCTGATGGAGGCTATTTGCAGAAATAAGAATGATCTGTGTGAGAATAGCAGCTGAATGAGGTCCTAGCACATTTACAGGAGAAAATTAGGGCCTAATGTGCAGAACTCTATCTTTGAGGCTTAGGAAAAATAGAGTAAATAATGCATCCCTGAACCAAAATCTTATTTTCAGCCCAAGAACCTCTAAACTGTTTCCTAAGASTCTCTAGGATTATAACAAGTACGGTTCAGAATACATCCCAGGGACTCTTCCTTATAAATAAATAGACCAGATGAACACACTGTGCCACACTCCAATTCATAAAGAGAACCAGAGGGCAGACTGTAATGAGAAGGAAATTGCAAGAAGGCCAATAAAAAGCAATTCTGATCTCATACCATCAGCYGGACTAGGCAATGGGGATAAATAAAGTCACAGACTTCTCCGATATTTATGAATCCTTATTGTTGCTAAGCTCTCCTCAGAACAAAAATGACTCAGGAAGGGAGGCAGTTGTGCTCCTTTCAAATGGCAATATTTAAGAAAGGAGAACCATATGGTTTTGAGTTGGCTCAATTGTGGCAGCCAGGAAACTAATCCGCAGATTTATTGGAGCTGGCATACGTAACGGAGTGGCAATGCTCCTTTCATTTGCTGCCAAGAAATCCTCTGTGGTGYAGAGCTTTACCTTTAACAGCGATTGCTTAGTGGGCATATGGGCCTTATTTCTGCAAATGGGAGTGGGAGAGAGTCGATTTGCAAATCAAATTGGAGCTCTCCTCCTCCTGCTGCTCCAATTTACTATGCAGACTTTATTTGTAGTAGGAGACTGGATTTCTGCCTCTTTTCTTCTAGTGAACCTGTTCCCTTGATTTGGAACCTCTAAATGAGAAGAATATGAAGACAAGGAGAAACCAATTACATCATTGTCACTGGCCAGATAAAACTTATTGTAGTAAGTAAGTAGCTTACCTAATGCTGTGGACAATTGCTAGAAGGCTCCTGGCCATTAAAATTTAGCATCCCAGGAACCATGATTTTACTTTCAAAGGTCATAGAAAAATGCAGAATGACAAATCAGAGTCAGGAATCTACCTAAGGTATATAATAATCTGTTAGAGTGGGTTTATATATATATATATATTTATTTATTTATTATATTTATATATAATATATTTATATATATTTATACATTTATTTATTACATATAAATATATTTATTATATTTATATATAATATATATAATATATTATATATAAAAATATATTTTTATATATGTAAAAAACCCACTCTAACAGATTATTATATATATATATATATATTTTATTTGAGGTATAAAGTGCAATTAGAAATTCTTGAGTTTCCTTTGGGCATGCTCAAAGAAGGATTTCCAGAGTTCCCTGGGGGTTACTCAGAAAGAAGAATCAAAAGCTTGACTT